AGGGGTGAGGTGGGGGGGAGTGGCAGGCATGGGGAAGGGTGCCTGCAGGGGCTTTCATAAGGGAGGGAGGGAGGGGGAGAGGGAGGGGAGGGGAACGGTTGCTTTGCCTATGGTTGTGTTGGAAGAGAAGGAGCCATTTTTTTTAAAAAAATCTTTTTCTGTTTTTTTCCTTCTCCTTTTTGCATGTCGTGTTTCTTTTCTCTTATTATTTTCTCTTTTTCCTGGCCAGTATTAGCTGTTAGGATTATAGAGTTCCTTCATTAAATTAACATTAATTAACAGCTCCTAGTTTTTGAAAAAGGAAGCTGACTGGCTCTAGGTGATTATTGTGTTAGGGCTGAGGCCAATTGTGGAGAAGCGGAGGGAGGTTGGTCATGTTGTGGCCCGGCAGTGGCCAGCAGGCCCGGCAGCAGATTCGGACGGTGAGGAGGTTGGGGAGGAACCTGGGCCAGTCCTGGAGTCTGGGGAAGGCTCTGAGGAGAGCCCTGTGTCGGAGGCAGAGAAAGGGCCAGAGCCGTCTGACAGTTACAAGCTGCCTTCAGACATCAGTGAGGCAGAAGAACAGCTGGAGCCTGTTCCCAGTGTGCGCATGCGCAGAGTTGCCAGAGGAAGGGAGCAGCTAAAGGACAGGGGTCGACTTGGGAGTGAGGCCACAGGTGGAGGGTGAATGGCCCCTCCCAGAGGAGATAAAAGAGGAGCGAAAGGGGAGTGGAGTTTGCAGGAGGCAATTAGTTCGCTTCATTGGTTCGTGACTCTCCGAGGCTCCTTGCCAGGTTTTGCAGATATCGGCCTGGCAGCTTTCCAAGCCAGAGACAGTCTGTGACTATAAGTCCTCCCTCGAAAGTCTTTGCTGGAGGTGAAGGAGCAGAATTCACAGGAAATTAATAGAAGGGTTTTTTTTTTGTCGGGAGCAGGAGTTGCTTCAAGCTGTTGGGAAGCCTCGGTCAGGACAGGTCAGGAGGGTCTTTCCCAGGGGGGGTTTGCTGGTGTGTCTCGCAGAGCCGTCTGCAGTGCAGGCTGCTCTCCTGCCATAGGGATAACGGTGGCTGGCTCGGCTCATGGGACAAGTCCCATTGAGAATGGGGCCTGCCTCTCGGGCGGTGGTCTTCCGCGGTTCCACCACAAAACCGTGGTAGACTAAAGCGCGCTCGACGAAACCGCGTACCTGACGTCATCACAGCGCGGCGAAAACAGCACGCTGTGAGTGGTAAAGCTAAAATTAACGCGTAAACCTAACCCTAACCCCCCCAAACCTAACCCTAAACCTAACCCTAAACCTAACCCTAAACCTAACGCTTAACCTAACGCTAACCCTTAACGTAACCCTAAACCTAACCCTAACCCTNCTTCTCCTGCTTCCTCCTCCAGCTCTTCCAAAAGTGCTGCTTGGTCCAGAGGATCCTGGACGCCTGGGAGACCAACGACCAAATCCAGTGAGTCTCTGAGAGCCCCCCCCACACACACACCCCCCCCGGGCTCACCTCCGCTTCCCCAGGCCTTCCCTGCACAGGTTGGGCTCACTTGAGTGGGGAAGGACAGGCAAGCAGAAGGGAACGGCTTCATCCGGATCGCTTGATATCCTCTCAGCATTCCCAGCCTCTTTTCCTCTTTTCCTTGCTCGGTTCTGCTGCTGATTTCCGGCTGGCTCTTTTGGGGAGCGATAGAGGAGAGGAGCGGGGAGCTGGAGAAAGGGGATGGCTGGCAGGGGCCCCCAAGCCCTCCTGTCCTCTCTTGGAGCCCTTGGAGGGAGACGCCTTTCTCCTGAGTCAAGCAGCACTGGGGCCCTTCTGCTGACAGCTGGGGCTCCCCCCCCCCCTGCACCGGCCAGCTGCGGTTCCTCCGTGCTGTGGCCTGATCTGCCCTGAGGTCGCCTCCCCCCCCCAAGCAGAGACCAGAGGCGAGCCAGGCCAGCATCCTCCCGGGGTGAATGAATGGCACTTGGGCTTCGGTTTTTCAGTGGCTGCTCCTCGCTTTGGCTTTTTCAGGGCAGGAGGAGGAATGAGGCGTGGCAACATGGGCCACCTGACCCGAATCGCCAACACCGTTGTGCAAACTGTGGAGAAAGGTCCCGGGCAGAGCCAGATCAGGGAGTTCATCAGAGGTAGGAGTGGTCCTGGCCCGTCCTCTGCTCGGCCCAAGCCAGGAGGGGCAGCAGGAGGCCCCAGGTGCCTGAGTAGGGAGAGGGAGGGCGCCTCCTCTCGGGTGAGGCCTTTGGGCAGGGAGGGCCTGTCTGTGTGTGTGGGGGGGGGGAATGCTGCCCTTGCCACCCAGGCCCCCATGTCTTTGCTGGGCCTTCCTCAGAGGCCTTTTGTTAGGGGTCCAGGCTTGGCTGGCAGCCTCTGGGAGACTCCCAGGCTGGGGCTGACAGACGGCTTTCCACTCCCTCAGTCCCAGCATTAGGAAANGCCGCCACCTGGTGGCCAACCAGTCTCTCCTCGCCCTGCTCGGAGTCGACACCCTGTCCAGGGTCCTCCAGGGCCGACTCATAAGACCCCTCGCTGTCGGAGTCTGGCGGCAGCTCCAATGGCTCCTGACGGGCCACAACAAAACCTCTCTCTGTTTCTGCTTTCCTGTTTCTCCTTTTAATTATCCTGCACCCCTAGGTGAGACATTGAACTGCATCTCCTTGGGACACTGAAGCAGGCCTGTTCTCAGGCACCAGAACATGATTTGTTTGTGATGTTGGCTTATTTTTCTACCCACAGCTTGGAGTCACTTTCTGACTCCTTCTCCCAGGGGTTTGAAAAGTTCCACCCTGTCAGTAGCAGCATCTTGCAGGGCATCGAGCCACGCCTGAAGGACTTCCACCAGCTGCTGCTTCAGCCCCCCAAGGTAAGGGGATTCCCCTCCTCTTTCTCTCTCTCTCTCGGCTAATTCCTGCACGCTGGCCTGGATACGGGGACAGGGAGCACTCAGCAAGGGGGTGGGGGGGGTGGAAGGGCGGGCACCAGGACCCAGAAGGAAGGGGGTGAGGAAGAGGATGGGAAAAAAGAGATGGATAGACAGAAGGAAGAGGAGAAATCCTAGCTGAGAGAGAAATATTGGAGAATAAAGGAATAAATGATTATAAGAGATTTATATTTGGATTTATCAAATAAGTTTTATTGAGATGGGAGAAAATTTGTATTCAATACTATGAGAGCAGCTTGAAGAATTAAAGATTGTTAGACGTAAAAGAAAAGAACTTCAAGTTGCCTTGTTCGATCAGGGTTAAAATATAGAACATCGTTATAAAATTCTGTAAACCCTTTATGGACCTTTGAACGACCTTTGGGGAGAAAGGACCATAGTTGTTGTCTCTCTGAAGGGGTGAGGTGGGGGGGAGTGGCAGGCATGGGGAAGGGTGCCTGCAGGGGCTTTCATAAGGGAG